TAGAAGGAATCATTTAATCTTGCAACAGTAATTGTAAAACGTCACTTTAATTTTTATTATTAAAAAGTTATAGTAAGTATTATGTGACTGTGAAAGTATGACCGGATCAGAAAATGTCTACAAGGCAATATTTACTATAAAATCGTATTGAAAAAATGCATCTAAATGCGAGAAAACTATACCTAATCTACTGACTATTCAACGATGATATAGTTTGATATAGGTTTCAGTAAGATATAAAATTTACAAAATTTTTCGGCGATAAAGTTTGCTATGGAACAAACAACATCAGACAATTATGTGCAGTTGTTTTGTCAGTCTACAGATTTCGGCAAAAGCATATATATATATATATATATATATATATATATATATATATATATATATATATATATATATATATCCATTTATTCAATGAAATGAAACATCAACGATAACTCGGTTGCACGATATTTTATATAGATACTATTTTTGTGAACTGCAAACGGAATGAAGTTAGTTATTAAGTGATGTATAAATTCATGATAATTATTTTTGTTTGTAAACGAATGATATTTCAACCATGATTACTGCTGGATACTTTTTTATCTGACACCAAATTATAATGAACTTAGTTCCCAGTGACTTAACTAGATGCTGATTGAATTCGATTAAAATGAAAACATAAACAAATAGGAGAGATTACAATTTATGAATTACATTTAGGCGACACTAAAGTGGCCTTGAGAATGTCCAACTTCATACTAGAGTTAAATGAAGGTTTAAAACCAGAATTATGATTTACAGTCGAAGGTTGGCGTTAGGAATTAGATTTAGGGTTTTTATCACGAACTGACATAAACTATAATGCCAATACTCTATTTAGCCAAATGGATGAAGAATTTCACACCGAAATCCTAGACCTGTTATTGTAAATCTGATTGGCTTGTTCATAAATTGTAGTCTGGTCGACAAATATGATTTTGTTAACTAATAAGTTAATGAAAAGTGTATTTATATTTTGTAAACTGTACTAAATCCTTTGGACTATTTTGACTATTTGAAATTATTTGTTTTTTAATTTATTGCCAAAAATTCATGAAGCTAATTGTAAAATGTTTAAATGTAAGGTGATATAAACCGTTTTGTACAGCAATGTAAATGATACTAAATAGTATTTATATTGCTTCGAAATTCGGTCTGACTACATTTTCAAATGTTTATTTTAAATTACATAACTCTTTATGTTTCTAACTATTGATTTTTTTCATTTCGATGCTGATGATCAAGTTATTTCGAATTGCAACAAATTAACGAGGAAGCAAAACTCTTCATTGTTATTCACCATCTTTGTTGATGTTTAAATCTGTTTTACAATCCGAGCATTTCATTGCACAATAAAATGATTAGTCATATTAACACTTAAAAAACGATTCCCAGCTTGTCGAGAAGCCTTACTAAAAAGTGGTTTGAGAATTAATGAGGTTCAATATCCAATTGGTAACTTAATTACTAAACTTTTAGATTTATCATAATTAACATGGTATGGAAACTATGCCCTTCACTCTACTCCTGATACTTACAAAAAAAAGTACTAACTTACTTACGCCTGTTAATCCTCACGAAGGAGCATAGGCCGCTTACCAGCATTCTCCATCCAACCCTGTCCTGGGCAATCCTTTTCAGCTCTCTCCAGTTCTTATTCATCCCTTTCATATCCGCTTCTGTTTCCCGACGTAATGTGTTCTTCGGCCTTCCTCTTTTCCGCTTCTCTTCAGGATTCCAAGTTAACGCTTGCCTCGTAATGCAGTTTGACGATTTACGTAATGCATGTCCTATCCATTTCCATCGTATTTGCCTAATTTCCTCTTCAGCTGGAAGCTGGTTGGTTCTCTCCCACAGAAGGCTGTTGCTGATGGTATCCGGCCAATGGATGTTGAGTATCTTACGTAGACAGCTATTGATAAATACCTGTACCTTCTTGATGATGGTTGTTGTAGTTCTCCACGTTTCAGCTCCGTACAGTAGAACTGCCTTGACGTTCGTATTGAAGATTCTGACTTTGATATTGGTTGAGAGTTGTTTTGAGTTCCATATATTGTTTAATTGAAGGAATGCTGTCCTTGCTTTGCCAATCCTCGCCTTTACGTCTGCATCTGAACCTCCTTGTTTGTCGACAATGCTTCCCAGGTATGTGAAGGATTCCACATCTTCCAGAGTTCCGCCATCAAGAGTGATTGGATTGCTGTTCTACGTGTTGTGTTTGAGGACCTTGGTTTTCCCTTTGTGTATGTTGAGGCCTACTGATACAGAGACTGCTGCTATGCTGGCTGTCTTTGTCTGCATTTGTTCTTGCGTATGCGATAGGAGGGCTAGGTCATCTGCGAAGTCTAAATCGTCTAATTGGTTCTGAGCTGTCCATTGTATGCCGTAGTTTCCCTCAGATGTCGAGTTTTTCATAATCCAGTCGACCACCAGAAGAATGAGGAAGGGAGAGAGTAGACAGCCTTGTCTTACTCCGGTCCTTACTTGGAATGCGTCTGTCAGCTGTCCACCATGCACTACTTTGCACTGTAGTCCGTCGTATATGTTCCGGATAATGTTGACAGTCTTCTCAGGAACTCCGTAGTGTCGAAGAAGTTTCCATAACGTTCTCCTATCTACACTGTCAAATGCCTTCTCATAATCAATGAAGTTGATTTACAGTGACGAGTTCCACCCAACTGATTGTTCGACGATGATCCGTAGTGTCGCAATCTGGTCTGTGCACGACCGGTCCTTACGGAATCCAGCTTGTTGATCTCGAAGTTGAGCGTCTACTGTGTCTTTCATCCTGTTCAGTAACACTCTGTCAAAGACTTTTCCTGGTATTGGCAGTAGTGTAATGCCTCTGTAATTTTCACACTTGCTCAGGTCTTCTTTCTTTGGAATCTTGATGAAGTGCCTTTCCTTCCAGTCCATCGGCACTTGTTCCTCCTCCCAAATCTTCTTGAATAGAAGATGAAGCATGTTTGTAGTTACTTCGATGTCTGACTTCAACGCTTCAGATGGTATATTGTCGGGTCCTGCTGCTTTCCCGCTCTTGATTTGTCTGATGGCCATTCTGATTTCTTCGGTCGTTGGTGGATTGACATCTATAGGAAGATCTGTGTGTGCTGCTTCGATGTCCGGTGGATTCATTGGCGCAGGCCTGTTCAGGAGTTCCTCGAAGTACTCTGCCCATCTGTTCCGCTGTTGTTGAATCAGTGATCGGTCTTCCTTCTTTGTCTTTGATTGGTCTCTCTGATTTACTGTATTTCCCTGAAAGCTTCTTCGTCGTATCGTAAAGCTGTCTCATATTTCCTTGTCTTGCAGCTTTTTCCGCCGTCGTTGCTAGTTCTTCCACGTATTTTTGCTTGTCAGCTCTAATGCTCTTCTTCACTTTCTTGTTTGCTTCTATGTACTCAGCTTGTGCTTGGACTTTCTCTGCTCTTCTTCGACTGTTGTTAATTGCTGTCTTCTTGTTCTTTCTTTGATCCTGTCCAGTGTTTCTATAGAGATCCATTCCTTGTGATGATGCTTCTTGGGGCCCAGAACCTCTTCACACGTTGAAGTTAATGTTTCTTTGATGCCTTTCCAGCTATCCTCCATAGTAGTTTCTTCTTCCTTCAGTAGATCCTGTAAGGCTTGGAACCTATTGTTGAGAGCTATCTTGAATTCATTGAGTTTGTCAGTATCTCGAAGGAAGGCTGTATTGAACCTTTGTGGTGCTGTTTGTCCAGTTGTCCAGTTCTTCTTTAGCTTCAGTTTCAATTTGGCCACAACCAGGTGATGATCTGAAGCTATGTCCGCTCCTCTCCTGGTTCTCACATCTTCCATTGTCCTTCGGAACTTTTTATTGATGCAAATATGATCTGTCTGATTCTCTGTGGTGTGGTCCGGTGAGATCCATGTAGCTTTGTGTATACGTTTGTGTGGAAATATTGTGCCGCCTATGACCGATTTGTTGAATGCACACAGATTTGCAAATCTTTCCCCGTTTTCGTTCCTCTCTCCCAGTCCATGCAGTCCCATGATATCTTCATATCCGGTGTTGTCCATTCCGACTTTGGCGTCGAGATCTCCCGTCAGAATGGTGAGGTCCTTTCTTGGGCACTTCACTATGATTGATTGCAGCCTCTCATAGAATTGATCTTTAATGTCGTCGTTGCTATCATTGGTGGATGCATAACATTGGATAATGTTCATTGTGATCCCCTCCTTCTTTGTTTTGAATGATGCTTTGATGATTCTGGATCCGTGAGATTCCCATCCTACAAGTGCATTTTGTGCTACTTTGGACAGCATTAGAGCCACTCCCTGAGTGTGTGGAGCATCTTCCTCTTTGTGACCGGAGTATAGCAGCATCTCTCCCGTATTTAGCCTTTGTTGTCCAGCTTGGGTCCAATGGGTTTCACTGATTCCCAGTACTGCCAAGTTGTATCTCCTCATTTCCGTTGCTATTTGACTGGTCTTCCCGGCCTCCTACATTGTCCGAACGTTTCATGTACCTATAAAAATTGTTGCTCTGGTTTTTAGAAGGAGCATCGGCCTCATGGCTTCCGAAGGAACTCAGCTTTCACCATGAGGCGTCATATTTCTTCTAAATGAAGACCTTCTATCTCTCAGGGCAGAGTTTAAATGATTTGAGTTATTTTTTTCTGGTTAGCGTTTTTTAGCGAGTTAGTTTTTTGCGGGATGGGGTCGCTAACACCATGCCCAACCCTCCTCCTTTACCCAGGTTTGGGCCGGCAGTAACTCTAGAAGAGCTACAGGAGGAGTTACAAAACAAAGTGGTTTGCTCAAATATAGGATCAAAAGAATGTACTCCGTTTAATTCACATAACGTTTGTTAGTTCTTAAATGTTTGACGGTAGTGAAACGTACTTTTAACATCAACATTTCTTTAGAAACCATTTCCTACGGATTAAAATTGTTTCAGTGATTAATAAATTGTAATTTATGAATATCTCTATTAATTCTCTTTTTAGAATTATTGAAACATGTCTTCCAATCGAACAATCGAAATGTTAAGACCAGTTATGAAAGATTTCGACAGCATTGTGTTACCGTACTGGTACAAATTTGAACAACCACATCCATATTATCAATATGCCATAGGTTTGTTCATAGCGGTTGTTGGGATAACTGGTGTGTGCCTTAATTTATTAGTCATTATATTTTTTACGATGTAAGTTTAAACGAATTCTTTACAAATAAAATTGTTCATTTATTTAATATCAAATTTCTCAATAAATAAAATGAGATAAATTTAATAAAACAGTTCATTCAGTAGAGGAATCTTTTTCTATGATTTTTTTTTCAACACTAAGCAATCTTAATCATGTTAGCAATAATCTATAGTCAGAAGGGGTTTTGTGGAGATTTTAGTAATTTTATAGTGGAATTTGTGAGTCTATTGAAGCTAGACCATCATGGCAAACCTTGTATAGTGTTACAACTTAGTCAGTTCTTATGTGGATTTTGACTAAATTATTTTTTCAACAAACAAATAACTGTTGAAGGTAATGATGTTTGAAGTATGAGGAATATTCAAACAGTAAGATGGACAGAGTGCATTTCATTACTGTTAGATTACGATAGAAATATATGAATGATAATAAAAAAATACGGATGAAAGCAAACAGAATGCAACACTACCCCTAGTGTAAATTTAGGTGTGAAGTAAGAAGAGAAAATAAATAATTAAGTAAAATCACAAACTAGAACCATAGCAAAGTTAAAAATTTGCTTTCTCACATACAACTCAACTACTAAATTATAATTGGCTACATAATTTGTAGTTTTGGGTATTGAAAATTATTTGTCACATTTTGTTGAGACATAAATTTAGTAAGCTGACGTTTTATTATTGATTTAATTATTAAACTATTCGGTAATTTCAATAGTTGAGATCATGAGTCACTTGAAGCTAAACGAACATAGAAAACCTGGAAGCACTGAACGGCCCTTATCGTCCTAATGTGGGATTCCTCAGCAGTGCACATCCACGACCTCACCCCGCACGATTCGAACCCAGGATCTATCTGTCTCGCGCGCAAGCGCTTAACCTCTAGGCCACTGAGACGGCCGGCATCCAACGGTGTTAATGTCTAACTTCAACCAATCCAAGAAATTGAGTGACACATCCACCATTGTCATCAGTGAGTTACTATCTCACAACAGACCCGGTTGAACTCCAAGATATATCTCTTCAAACCAGTCATTAGTGAGCATATGTTAATTGGTATCGGGAGGGGTTTTGTGGAGATTGTAGTGATTTTAATGGTTGAGATCATGGGTCAATTGAAGCTAGACCACCGTGGAAAATCTTGAAGCATTAGACGGCCTTTATCATCCTGTTGTAGGAATCCTCAGCAGTGCGCATCCACGACCCCGCCCCATGGGATTCGAACCCAGGACCTATTCGGTAATTATTTACTATTTATTATTATTATTTATTCTTAACACTAAAAATTAAAACCTTACACAGTTCAATAATAATTAAAATTAATCTCACTAGTATCATTTCTTATATTTTTTTAAATCAAATAAAATTCTTTTGGAACTAAATAAATAAATAAATGTGAAATCTAATATCTACGAAATTATAGAAGATCACAAAACAATTTAACGAATATTTAATCCAACTACAATAGACACATTTGTAATATAATTATTCAGTGACCTTGAGTGAAGTACAATTTAATTCAATTTGACAGGAATCAGCCTGTGGAATTTAATGAAATATATATATATATATATATATATATATATATATATATATATATATATATATATATATATATATATAAGATTATAGATAATGAATGGTTATGAAACTTGTGAAATGATCATAACTTTATCAAGAGATTTCACTTATTGAAGAAGATAATTAAAATTCTTAAATTTCTAAAAGATTCAACAAACTTACTAGTAATGAACCAAAAGTAATAATTTGACGATTACTAAAAAACATTTGGAACTCAACATAATTTGAAAATTACAAGTGATAATATCACGAGATAATATTAAACATAGTATTCTGATTCTTCATCTTTTTACAATCACAATCTTGTACGGATATAGTTATTTCAGAATGATACATCGAATAAGTTATGCCTGTGAATTCAAATCTTTTCAATAGTAGTTAATTCGATTTTATTTCGGAAAAGTGTCTTATTTTGAATCAGAAGAAATTTATGTATTGATTAAATTACTTATTATAATTATCTAAATGAAATATTTATTATATACCAGGATGGATGATGGCTAACAGTGGAATCTGCGGCTCGCGTTTGGTTCTGTTTTTATGGACTCTCAGATAGATGTACCTGCATCCTAGAATTGATGTTCATTTTGGGACTCTAACCCAGTACAGTACACTTTACGCACCATCGCGTCATTCACTTAGCTACTGAATCCTGATAACCACTAAATATTTAGATAGATTTTTAACTAATTTTTGTATGATACTAGGGGGGGGGGCTGAACGTTTATTTTACATTACTCTTCAGTTTTTTGGTATTCCATATCAATAGCTATGAAAAGCAAATTTAGATCAAAAAAACTTCTGATGTTAAATAAGAACTAGGTTCACTTCATCACCGAGCAATTCTAGGTACGTCTTGGATACAATGAGACATGTAGATAATATTGTCTCGTCTTTGATATATACTTAGGCGGGAAAATTTCTATAAAAATATAGAAAAATCCACAATCCCTATCTAGGTAAGAATTTACAACAAGGATTTCATCAAATCAATCTCATATCAAGTCACTTGTGAGCAAATATTTATTATTTATTATAATGGTTTATCAAATAAACATTTTTCAAATTTTCCTAATAATAAAGCATTTATCATCAATGTAATTTATGAAATAGAAGCGATATTACACATTTCGTGATAAATTTTTACAAAACTGATCGATAAAGAAACTTATGTTGAATTGAAGTTTAAACGTAATCATTCAACCATTACATGAAAACGAATTTACCCTCAGGAAAAGACAATTGATAAAAATAATCAATCAGTATTATGACTTTAAATAAAATCAATCTAAACAGTAAGGTAAATAAATGGATTCAAAAATAACTACACAATAATAACAGCTATAACAAATAAAGTATTTTCAATCAATTATTTACTAATTGATGACTTTACATAAATTTTATGATTCTTTGATCATTCAATGAATATATTACATCTAATGGTATGTTTAAAATTGTTTATTTTCACCCTACTGAAACTATTGTAATAAACGAGCTGACCTATATCAATGACGTAACACTTGAATGATCAGTCCTAATTACATAAACTAAAGGATTAACTTGATTGAATTCCTTACATTATTTGTGCTTGAGTAAAGTCAAAAAGGTAGATATTTTTAAGTGAATCGACTCATATTTTGTCATCAGATATTGGTTTTCCCCAATCAATGAGATATTATTTACAAATAAATTACTGTTCAAATGGTTGAAAACAGTTTACTAAATATTTTGTTTATTAAAAATTATTTAGCCAAGTCTTTGCAGAGGTATTTATTTGTAAAATGTTTTCAAGATATATTCAAATAATTGAACAATGTATTAAACTAGATCTATTACGATTCTGAATAATTCCAACATATATTTTTTATTTTTTTTATTCTAAAGGTTTAAATCTCTTCGAACACCTTCTAATATTCTTGTTGTAAATTTAGCAATATCAGATTTTGGATTTTCAGCAGTTATTGGTTTTCCTTTAAAAACTATGGCAGCATTTAATAACTTTTGGCCATGGGGTAAAATAGGTAAGTTTGTTTTAGAAAATAATATCTTGACTATAAATTGTAAACAATCACAAATTGAGACGGTTATTATGATAGTATGCACCAGCTGGCTATGATTTATTCATATCTTATTATTTCTGATGTGTTTACAGATTTGACATGCTAAACAATATCACATTTAACGGTTATTTTTAGTTTTGCATCAAAATATTATGGTATTATTATATGTGTAATATATTCAAGTTTAATGTAAGTTATTAAACTACAGTTACACACTGTGGCGAACTCTTAAATTAGTGACCGTTAGACTTTAGTCTGAATACAATGTGTCGTCGAAATACAGAATTCAGATAACTAACCAAATAGATCAATATTGGCGCTCACCCAATTCTACTTCAGATGTAAAAAGCGATTGATGAAAACTAATGTCTTGCATTTGTAACTTCCTTGACAAAAAATGGTGTTTTGATGCCTACATAATTATTACTTTTCGGAAGATTTAAACTTAAGTAACCCAACTCCATAGACAAAGTTTATACAGTTGAGTTTCTTTTGTTCGGTATAAAGAATAGAAAATTTTTAGCTGATTGAAGCCATGTATTTATAAGAATCTTACATCAAACCTGAAATAGCGTTGATAGCATGAACTGATGAAGGAGTACCAAATTACATAAAATATTTGTTGAGTACATCTTTAGCCATTCTTTTTGATACGTTACTTTTCAGTAAAAACACGATAAATGTAATCTTTTCGAAAATTTTGATATAAATCCAGTGAACATTTTGATCTTTGTCTCCATAGTATAAAATCGTATGTCTTTATATACGCTCTTATCAACTAAAAACCTATCGGTTTATTTTACAAGTAAAAGAATAGCTTTATTATAGTTATGTTAATTACACAGCATTCAGAAGCTATGCATATCCACCTTAATTATGCAAAATAATATAACGGTGTTTTCAATAATAAAAGTTTCCAAAAGTTTAGAACGAACTGAAAAAATATTATTTGATTACATTAAGGAAAAATTATTCCATTAAAATCCCAGCGATTCCATTCTGAGTAAATCTATTCTTTATCCAGGTGCATTTTGCAACCTAGCGCTTTCTATCGTGTTGAAGTTATTACAACTTTAATTCCTTCCTAAGTGTTTGCCACAATGGTTTCCTTTTTTCTGACTACATCTTGCATAGCTTGGAACTTGCTAATGAGAGTTATCTTGAATTCGCTCAGTATATTAGCAATTGAAGGAAAGCTGCGTTAAACTTTTTTAATGTTGTTTGTCCAGTTTTCCAGCACTTCTTAATCTTCAATTTTAGCATGACTACTACCAAGCGACTATCTGAAGCTATATCAACTCCTATTTTGTCCTTACGTTTTCCTTGGACCTTCTGAATTTTTATTTCATGAATATGTAGTCAGTTTGGTTTTCTGTAATGTAGTGCGGTAAGACCTACGTAGCTTTGTGTATGCATTCGAGGAGGAAAAAGTGTCAACTATGACCGCGTTATTAAGAGTTACGAGCTTCTCACCATATTAGTCTTTTAAGTGCTTACTCTGGAGGCATCGGTTCAACTCCTTGTAATTGTAAGTCATATTTTTTACGAGTAGAATATGACAGCATCCCTACTGAAGTTGATCTCTTCGGTTTAGATTGTGTTCAATGAGTTTCACTTATTCTAAAATGAATCATGTTACTTCTCATAACCTTGACTGTTTAAATTACGCTCCCGTTTTTCAGCATTGTTCAAACATTCCATGTTCCTATGTTTATTTATTTCCTAGTTGTCAAAAGTGATTTCGTATATATGACTCCCAGAGACTCCTGGCTTTATAGGAGTGGCGTTACAACTTATCAAGGCTGTTTGACAGCCAGAGAAACTTTTAAATGGTTTAAACGATTGACGCTATCGTAATGGATATCTTTTGTAAGGTGGAAATCTTAACCCCAAACCTGTCTTAATTTCTTTACTCGAACCACAGATGGCCTCCGGGCAGAGTTGAAAGAGTTGTGTTGGATGAAACATAGTGTTATAAAGGGTTTTATCCAAAGACGTTACTTTAAATGCTTAGTTTTTTATTTCAGAACACTTCTGTTTGTTCTAAATTAGCTCACCTTACCTGCAGAAAGTATATAACTTTGTAAGGCTAATATATTTTATTGCGATCCTATGATTTGTGGACGTTTGGTTAATAATAGTTTTTAAAGCATGTTTTTGGATTTCATATAATGTTTTATCTAACTATAGATTATCGACATTTTTTCTAACTTCCAAAAAGCGTGTGATATTTATGGGTTAGCTGGTGGACTTTTTGGATTTGTTTCCTTATCAACGATAGCTGCTGTTGCACTGGATCGCTACTTAGTTATTGCAACTCCTTTTGAAAGTGTATTTCAAACAACCCCTAGACGTACATTATTGTTAATGTTATTTTTATGGGTGTGGTCTCTTATCTGGACGATTCCACCACTTTTCGGATTTGGTAAGTCATGAATGACTAGTTCAGTAATTCACTTCATTTATTAAAAATACCTAAAATGAATACTTTAGCAGAAATTTATGAATTCTCATTACTAGCTCTTTGTAGAAAACTAATAAGGATAATTTTGTGTGTTTACTGTTGATCATTTAGTGAAAATAAAAATTTCAAATAGTTTGTTATTGTACGCCAACAACAAGGTTTTCATTTACTACAATACTTTTGTCAGAGTTTGCTTTCGATGATTACTAATGACAAGCCACTTCATCAAATATATTGAAACTACAGACACAAACAAAGCATTCTTGTAACAACCAATATTTATCGCTTATTGTGAAGACTTTTAATGGGAACCTTAATTTAGATCGGACGATGTTGTCGACAGGCTCACCACTTTTGCGGTTCGATATCTATTTCCAATTTGTACTCCTCGTTAAATGGAATCATGTTGTTGGGAAAGTGGGTATAAGCAGATTTCAATTTATAACGATATCCAAATGTAACACCTTTTATCAGATTTCCAATATGGGAGCCGACTGTTCGAATTACGTCGGGCCCACCAATTTAGTGGCCCGGGATCTGACTCCGGTTAAATGATATCATACAAAACATAAAAAATATTATTCTAACCACCTTTTGAAATTTATAAAAAGCATTGTGATTTGTATTTTAAAATTATATCATTAATAAATGTAATATCATGCCGTCAAGTTTAAAATCATTAGTTAAAGAATAGTATTATCATGAAATCTGCAATTAAAAAAAATTCTAGACACTACATAACGGAGCGGATATCAATGCCTAAGTCTGATCTTTTTGAATATAAACTCTCAGCTCCAAATACTTAGATCCACTTTCATATAGAAGACATCAGCAAAGAGAAGAGATTAATAATTTCATGATGACGATGATGAAAATAATAATAATCTTTTATTCATTACTCTATGTTTAGCAAAATATCCAGGAAAATTTTTCATATAATACTGTTGTTTGCATTTTGTTCCTTTATTCAGGACGTTATGTGACAGAAGGGTATCAAACATCATGCACTATGGATTACATATCTACTGACCTTAACAATAGATTATTCAACATTGGACTATTTGGTTTCGGTTTTTTATGTCCTTTATTTTTATCACTATTCTGTTACGCCAGAATTATTCTCATTGTAAGAAGTCGAGGTAAAGATTTTATAGAAATGGCAGCAAGTTCCAAAGGTACTAATCAAAAGGAAAAAAGTGCCAATGTATGTAAGTGAATTGGACTTCATTGACAAATAATAATATACACAAATTATGTTTTTTAAAAAGATATATATATATATATAACAGAGGTTCGTTGACAGATATAGTACAGTATGTATTAATTTCTATCGAAATAAATTGATAATGTAATTGATATAGGAAAACATCTCCAATCATGGTCTATTTTTAAGTGAAAAAATTGTAATCGATTTTGTGAACTTATACCGTTTATCTAATTTATCGTTATCAAGTTACAATGAAATATTACACATCATAACCTTCTGATAATTTTCAATTTTTTTAAAAATGTTCTTTGTTTGTTTTTAAACTCAATCACATATACTAAAGTAAAATTATGATATGAATCAAACAGTTTAAAACGGGAAACAAGCAATCGAAACTCTGACAACTCTACCATGTCAATAATCCTATTAAATTGTTAATACTAAAGTTTCACTAGGTGTTTAATTTATAAATATACAAGTCATGTATTTGATTCCGCTAGAAACGTTTCAGTTCAGTCCATTAACGTAGATTTGAATGAACACACTGATGAATTAGTTACTAAAAATCTTACCAGTAAGAATAAACAACACAGAATGAGGTTGTTGCAGTTTAGTACCTAATTACATCTGCAAAATTATCTGGTCACACTGTAAAGAAGCGATTTTGCACCATACTAGTTTGCTGATAATGGATCGCTGCTTTGTTCATGTAATTGTTTTGAATACCTCCATGTAATATAAACAGGTGTATATGTGAACATACATCAAGCTACATGTACATTGTTTTGCCTACATAAACATTACTTATAATTGGTATCTTTTCATTCTATTTCAGCGTCTACAAAATCAGATACTTTTGTTTTAAAGTCATCAGCTATACTGTTAGGCGTTTATTTATTATGTTGGACCCCATATTCAGTTGTTTGTCTAATGGCCCTTATTGGTTACGCAGATTACATAACACCACTAATGGTTGAGTTACCATGTTTATGCGCAAAAACAGCAGCCATATGGGATCCATGTATTTATGCTTTCAGATACCCGAAGTTTCGAGTACTATTTCAACGTCGATTCGGATTCCTAAGATCAACCAAAAATAGGGTCAGTTACGTGAAAATTTCATTCTCATAACTGTTTTTCATCTACCGTAAAATAAAGTAAACTTATAGTGAAAAAATTTTGAAACATTTCGTATATTTTTAATATTAGAAATGATCTGTGGTAGATTGCTTTCCTGAACATAAACGTCAACGTTAAATAGAAATCGGTTACTCTTCAAATTTCTTCGGATTATTGATCGAGTAAAAGTTCAACTCAAATGAATGGTATTAAAATACTGACAGTGAGCATAATAAACTTCACTTGAGGGTAAATATCCCTCTATGAGTACATGTAAAAAGAATTTGCATAATATTTAACCACACGTGCTCAAGTTATATTGATTGTTGATAAATGGTATTATGCTTCAAATTCTAAAGTCGTATTTTTAACACGTCAATAAACTTGCCCACGGTTTATTCCTCTATGGCTGTGTAGGACAGTGATGGGATATTTATATATCTTAGTAGTTAAAATCTACAAAACGTCAAGAAGTCAACTGTAGATATATATTACAAACAGTTACTGAAACATTTTATTATTCATATACCAGCTTGGTCCGAACAACATCATAACATGACTATACTGACATGTTCGTTGGTGAACAAACTTTGTTGGTGAAAAAACGTTTGATTTCTAACCTAGTGTTGTCACTCATTGATAAAAAATTCTGTAGTTTTACTGATCTTTTTCTAAAAATTAAGTTACAAGTTATCTGCAGCGCGGATAAAAGAAAAATCTTATTAGAATGTGTCCGATACGACTAAGTAAATTGGATAGTTGAAAATTTAGCAAAAACATCATATTCATTTCGGAAAAATAAGGGGCAAATTTACTCTACGGTGAAAAATATGTGCTATCATTCTATAATGATTCGAATTCTACTATTCATTGTGAAGTTTTACAGAAAGTACATTGATAGTATTCCACTCACATAGTTAAATAAAATTTTATGGAATAAGCAAAGATTATTCTAACAAAAAGTGATTCAAAACATTGTTTCCTGAAAACACATTTTTTTGAAGATGTGAAAAGAAACAGACAACTAGAACATTGTCCCTTATATGGTGAAACATTGGGTTTACTTCAAATTTATTTGCTGAGATTTTACAAATACATTCTTCCTCCTTAATGGCTTAAGAATTTAGTTTTAAAATGTTGACTATACATATATAAACAAACTGATTTCTCTGACAGAAATCAACAGTACTTTCCAATGTTCCAAGCTATTACTTGTATCAACTTGTTCCCGTTATACTATTCACTTACTAGCTGTATTCAAATTACTTACATCGTAAAAATGTCATACAATTTCTGCTTTAAGAAGGACATGAAAATCGTCTGTAATTCTGTAAGAAAGGAGAAATCTCAAAAATTTGAAAACATTTTCAACAAAAGCTACAAACTAAGACATAGACACGTCAACTTTTCATTTTTTTAGTTAGGGTATGTGTGAATTTAGTATAATTCATACTTAACTATAGAATGAATTCGTCAATGAAAGAGTGCAATGTCACTGACATGAAGCACTTATATTCAATTAAAATCTAATTTGGTGACCCAGTTTGTTGAGTTTCAAAGGAAAAGGGTTTAAGTATTTTATATCTTTTAGGAGAACATGTCAGCTTTTTATTTGAAGTTCACATAAAAGTTTTATTCTGAAACACTCAGGAGGTTTTGTTCCAAGAGCTAATACCAATGGAAGCCTACGTAATAAAGTTTTTGAGTGTAGCTGTTTCTACTCAAGAAAATAGAATAGCAATTATATAAATTTTTCCGAATAAAACTCATTATTAGGTTGCATGCTTTTTGCATCTCTCGAGGAGATCTAATGCACCCAGTAAAAGAAAAACCTGGTTATTTACCACCACAAAATAACGATTTTTTTATAATACCACTTTAACTAGTTCTGACATATTTTGTAACTTTACTTCAATGTAATACTGTTAGAAAATGAAAGCAAATATCTTGCTTGACAGTAAATGTTTTATAGTAAGTTGTGATCCGTTTTATTTGATCTTCCATTTAACCTACTTTTCAACTGAAGTTGTTACTATGCTCTTCCAGAATGTCTTCATAGTAATGAATAATTACATGAATGCTATGATAGGCTTGTAGCATTCCGGTTTGCAAGTTAGGATATCAATTTATTCTTAATATTAAAAATGTCAATATCTTTTTTTAGCTTCACATCATGGATTGGCTTATGGTTAGATAACCATTAAAAACCAGAAAATGTTGAACCGCTGTTTTGTTTTGATATGAGACACATATTGTTATGGTTTGTTTGAATGCAAAAAACAATCGAAATTGTAAATATTGAGTCAAAACAAAAGATTTTTAGTTTGGAGATAGTTATGACAATCAAAAAGTAAACATTTGAGAACCACTACAAAAAAGAGACTACTGAGCAGCTATTTCATCCTAAGGATCAATTTAAGGATTTTAAGAACTCATGAAATAGAAGTAGACCACTGAGCTTAAATTTAATGATCTACATCTTTTAAATTCAGTAATTTTGCAGTATAGCCTGATTCTTAATTTATAACAATCAGAGATAACTGTTTCATTCGCTAGCTGGATGATCTCGAACTTTTTCATGGTAAACTTTTGTGCTATCTACGATACGTATCAGTAAAATGTTTCTTAATTTTATCTTTCCTTTTTTTCTAACAGACTGATCAGTCCTCTAAAGGAGAACTCTCAACAGTATGTCAAATTGAAGAATAGAAGACTTTTTACAATCATGGATAAAATAGAAGTTAACCACAGTTTCATGTGCCTCAATTTTGTTCTCATATCATCGTAACTACTGATTAGATATTATGTAACTATCTAGATTTACATTTACAGTTGGAAGAACCATATTTGTTACCATTTTTCTAATTTGTAAAATAGCAGTTGGGATAGCTGTTAGTGATCAATAGAATAAAGCTATTGAATAATTCGAGTTATTGTTATTAAGAAATAATCAGGGGTTACTTTTTCTGTAAACGCGCTCGACTTTTTGAGAGTCAGTAAATTCTGCAGAGATAATGTTTTCAAAATAGGGCTCTCTAGAATATGATAATCCTTCCTAAAATAATGAAATTATGTACTCCAGCATCACTCGAGAATAAACTCGGCAGTTATTAATACTGATAACACTAGAAATCATCAGATAGGATAATGATGTACTAACTATAAATCTTTAATGCTGATTAGTTATTTCTTCAGAAAACTGAGCATGCAGTTGTAATGTAAAATAATACTGGACTCCATTTGATTACATTTCTCCTCAAATTACAAAGACGAGAAAACAAAGTGATCTATACGATTGTGATTTCGTAGACCATATAGATCATACTACTATAGGAATAAAGAAACACTTACAAAGTTGTGAAAAGAATTAGATGATGCTATATGACATCTACTGCTAAGCAATATTTTCTCCTAAGCAGTTTTTAGTTCACATAAAATAGGGTAATGAAATTAACTATTTTTAGTCAGTTTCTGATTACTTCCTGATTATACTCTACATGTAAAACCATTATAAGACTGAATATATATAATTCCGAATGAAAATATTTATATTGTACATTCTTTCTCAAGAATAAATAAAAATTGTTTCCATAGATACATTATTAAATTATTTGTTTTGGACCGACAAATTAATTGTGATGAAGTTGTATTCATTTTATTCTCTAAATGTCATTTTAAATACTCATAAAATTTCGAATAATGATAAAATGTTAATATTTAAAATAAATAATGTAAAATAATGAATTTAGTTTTTATTTTTATTACATAATACTTTGGATTTATTCAAGCTGATCAAGAAAAGTTGGTAGATAATATTATCATTGAATATATTGTTGTCATGTTGATGAGTATCTGTAAGATGAGTTGTGATCAATCAAAAACAGAACGATCATCTTCACATGATATCGATAAAAATGTTTTTCTTAATGTTCAGTCTTACTTCATTCATTATCTGTCTCACTTGTTTTTTAACAATATAAAGGGTATCAGTTTAATAATACATTATTTTATTTAATGAAAATGTCTGTAAGGAATAGTCAAACTACTTGAAGATTCAAATTGCAGAAAATATTAATAGCACTCCATCACTACGTGTGTTTATTAGGGAATGACGTGTTAACATCATCATATTATTAATTTCATTACCCAAGAGGATTATTAGAAGTTGACACAGATTTCTAGCTCTTTTCATCCTAATCTTTAGCACGTACATTTATGAAAATGTTACAGAAATAATTGTATCACTTATCGGTTGTTCTGTCATTTGAACTTCTTTCAATTATTTTTAGTTGGTTGCCTGAAGAATAATTTTTGTTTTATTCATCACATTTAAGCTTGATTAATCGCATGTCAATGTTTGTGTAGATTATTTAATAACTGCACTGTATGATCAGTGAATACTAGATTAAGCATGTAGTGAATCTTCAAAAAATTCTTAAATGACTGATATTATATTTGCAGAAGTGAATAAAGTCCTTCAATCAAATAGTATTCCACCTGATATTTGGTATTCATATGAATTAAAGATAAGGTGAGGAATTATTGAACCCAAGTTCGAAATAACTTAGTCTAATCAAACAAGAATCAAACATTTCCTGTACAAAATGTAAATATTTTTTATTAATTGTCATCTCAAAACATGCCATTAAATGTAGGAGGACATTGTATGTTTTTATAAATGATACTTTTGTCATGTCGACTATACAGAAAATTTTCGTACCGATAAACCAGGGGAAATCGGCTACATCTTTTTCGAGAAAGAAAACTTTTGAGGTATTTAAAACAAATTACAAGTTTTAGAAATAGTGGTCAAAAATGAAAATCTATAATGTAACTGTCTATTTAGTATTCATATATTTTATTCTTACCACGGTATTATTTATTTTGTAATGTTAAATTCGATAAATTGTAGTGGTCGGTATTCAATATAATCTTTAAGCTTCGTATACAGTTCATCCTTATAACCATCACTAGATAACGCCCCAATGCCATATTAATCAGAAAAGCGAATACGAAATGTTAATTATGTTTATTACTGCACCACGCACAGATAACCAAATTTATAGGTACGTTAAGCAAGCATGAAAGAGTAGTGCCGAAAAGCAATCGAGCAAGCGAGTGAGCGTGTGAGTTGAATGAGTGAATCAATGTACAGGATTTATATATATATAGTGAAATAAATGAATCATTGAATCAATTAAGCGACTAATAGTAAGGCTAGCAGAATGAATATATGCGTAAGCAGTAAGAAATGCTCAAGCATACATATTCATACAAGTGCAACAATAATAAAGGTACAACAATATAAGTTGTTGTTGTACGAATGACTCTGTCCGCTAAATATTTTAACAGAAGCGCTTAACCAAATAAAATACGAGTAAATTCAATTGCTATAAAATATACTCACTTACCGGAATATACGTACTTATATAGGCATTAAATATAATAAATAAAAAATATTGAATCATAATACTGACAAACCATAAATTCTGAATTTCTTGTAATTTAATCTTTATGGAATTAAATGTACATTAAATTACTTATCCATTAATCATTTAAAACAAGTTGAATAATTTTTTTAGTGAAATTAATATCAGATGGGTTTTGTGCATATTATAGTAATTTCAATGGTGAAGATCATGAGTCAGTTAAAGCTAGACCACCATGGAAAACCTGGAAGCACTGGACGGCCGTTTCGTCCTATTTTGGGACTCAGCAGTGCGCATACACGACCTCGCACCCTGCGAGATACGAACCCAAGACCTACTGGTTTCGAGCTCGAGCACTTAGCTACTAGATCACTGAGCCGGCATCCAACCGTGTTCATGTCTAACTTCAACTAATCCACGAAATTGAGCGACACATCCACCATTGTCTTCAGGGTCGTGGATGCGCACATATGAGGAGTCCCATAATAGGACGAAACGGCCGTCCAGTGCTTCCAGGTTTTCCATGGTGGTCTAGCTTCAACTGACTGATGATCTTAACCATTGAAATTACTAATAATAACAATAATTTTTAACTTTCGTTTCTATTCTCTACTCTAAAAATTACTTCATTAATGAGAGCTAAATACATAATTTTATTTCTTTTTGTACCAATACAAGAGCAACAACTGAATGCTTCAAAAATGACCGAATTTAGCTGTCTTGTTGTCATATACAAAATCAAAGAAAAAATATCACATAAATGAACACAACACATACATATGTATTCATAAAACATTATTACAACAAATAAAAAATAATTATACAATGGGTTACTTACAAGCACAAGTTTATATGAATGTTGAAAGAGCCCAGGCAATTAATGAAATTATAGTCATAAAATATTGCATTTAAATATAATATGTAGATGTGAATTTTCCAACAGCTTTGAAACATCAACTAAAAATATATAAAACAAATTTTATTAGAAATGGGAAAAATGATCAGCAATACATTTAAGAGTGAAGACAGAGGACGTACGGAAAATGTATTTTATGATCTGTTATCAATTTACATTACAGTTTTAATAAGAAGTAATCAACATTACAATTTGAACAAACTTTACAATGAATAATAATGACAGATATACAAACTACATAAAATTCTAAAGATAGGAACATTAACAATATTTATTCACAGATTACGTTTTTCTTGACCATTTCTATATAGTTCATTCCTTCCTTGTCTATTTTGTCGTAAGGAAACGTTATCATACATAATTGACTTTCGAAAATAATGTAAAGACCTAAAATAATATGTTGAATAGAAATATTGCTCAATAAAACAGAAAGAAAAATAGTTGAAATCATGAATCAATTGGATGCCGGCTGAGTGGTCTAATGGTTAAACGCTCACACGCGAGACTGATAGGTCCTGTGTTCGAAGCTAACGGCGGGCGGGATCATGGATGCGCATTGCTGAGAAGTCCCATACTAGGAAGAAACGGCCGTTTAGTGCTTCTAGGTTTTTCATGATGGTATAGCTTCAATTGACTCATGATTTCAATTATTAAAATTACTAAAATCTCTACATAACCCCTTCTGATAAAAATAAAAATAATATATATACATTACAAATGTGTACAATAGGTATGTTGAGCGTGCGTATTTGAACAGAAATAAAAATATTTCATATTTGTAGTAGTCAACACAAAAAAGAATACATTACATAATGAAAGTTAAAGTTGAAGTAATATATATATATATATATATATATATATATATATATATTATTCATCACATGTCTGTAACTTTATTTTGTGTGACTATAAATACCGATTAATGCTTGACTAAATCGAGTTGATTCAATTGCCTTCTACACGACATGTCATTTTGTTTCACTTTTCTCTATCCTCTTCGCTTTCTTCGCTACGTCTCTCTGATTATCTGTCTGGATCAACGATTGTACAAAATATACGTATTAAAAACTTCATTCTCGCATTCGACTTATCTAATTCCGTTATTCACTAGCGTGATTCAAGTCGATAGTTATAAACGTGAATTGGTGACATGTATATTTCAATAACAATCATTCGTCCGATCTAACTGCAGTCAGATTTAGGGCCACTTAATATATACATGTTTTTATGTGATGTAAAATGATTAAAAAATTGAATGTAAATACATAGCTGGCGTATGATGCAAGAAGAAAATACAGTTAACATGGAGTGCGAACAAAATAATATCAAATAATATTTCACAAGAAATTTAATCAACAAACTGTTTATTTGTATTTACACTACCAATCCTCTCAATTTTTGTCCAATGAAGTTAATTTCAAACGATCAATTGAAGTTATTTCTATTTTTTGCTGTTGTTGAGTATAAGAAATTTTCAACAAGCTCAACCATTCATAAACAGCACTAGATTATTAAAGGTTTCTGAACTGTTTACAAGTGG